AGCATTTTTAATTGGATGGGTGCTCCTCAGAAATGGCGCTGACATTTCCTGCTGCTTGTCTTATCATGTCACAGGAAGTATAAACTTTCTTTTGCGTGGTTCTTATGGCTGACATTTTCCAGCAGTGGCCTTTTCTAAAAATCTAATCAAAGAGTTGTGGGATGATGAGGGAGATGATGAGGGATAGCACTGAGCCCCGGGGACACAGAGAGGCTCTATTCTGAGCAAGGCTGGACATTCACTTGGGTACATGAACCTGCTTCCAAGGCCTGTGTGTGGCCTGGCTGAGCAATCAGGAATGCAAGGACCAAAGTAGAGAGTAGTGTCCACAACCTGCCTTATCCCTACCTATGAGCTGTCTTCATTTCCAGGCAGGAACAAGTATCTACCTCCTCTCTCCATGGTCTTGACCTTCCCCCAAGAAATGGTTCTAGGAAAGCTTGCCTGGTGGGCTCAAAGTTTTTTTGAGGGTTAGAGGTTTTTTATTTTATTTTATTTGTTTTAGGTACTGGGAATCTAACTCAGGATCTTGTGCTTGCCAGGCAGGAGCAGCACTGCTGAACTACAATCCTGGCCCAGGCATCTTAAATTTTTAGCTTTCAGCATCATTTTAAAATTTGACAACAGGACACACATATTGCTTTGGGACTAGAGTTCCACCTCTCCCTGAGGGCTTTAACTTGATTCTCCTGAGTTCTCAAGGAAGTCTAGCCTGCTTATTGCTTCTCTGGGATTGCTAATGTTTTTCAAAGCCTTGATTATCCTACTGTCATCTCCAATGTCCCTGTCCTTAGGAAGGGTCTATCGCTCAACTGTCTGCCTGGTTTGCCCCAAACCCCTTCATTTCCATGGAGTCCTGGCAGTTAATCTGGCCTTGATCATCCCATTACTCAAGAAAGCAACTTTCTGGAATGTATGTACCCACTGGGAATACTGAGGCACAGTGCTGATGCAGACCTGGGTAGAGGGTAGAGGAGCACGAGTGAGGAAGGACCTGGGTCACTTTGAAAAGATGTCTCAGAGGATTTTAGAAGGGTCAGGAAGGGAATGCCCATAGTCCACGGGGAAGGTGGAGTTGAGGAAACGACAAGATTTTATGTGGGAGAAAAACCTGAAGCAGAGCCAGCTGAATGTAATTAAGAAACCATGTGTTCTGAGCCCAAATGAAATGGGTAGAGAGAAGTCTGCTGAAGGTGGGTGGATTCTGAAGGCCTGAACCAGGTGTGGCTCAGTGGGGGTCATAACACTAGCAGTCTGTAAACCGTGGCACTCACCGCTGAGCCACAAAGTCCCAAAGCCTCGAGGTTGGGACCCTGACTTCCTTTGACCCTGTTCCCTCCCTTCTATTCAATCTTCTGTTCTCTCTTCTCCCAATACGTAGGGTTGAGAAACCCCAAAATGTTGTTTAGTTTATGCTGTGGTACAGACTCTGAAAACTGGATCTTTCCTGAAGCGTTTATATTGATTTTTGTGGTGAAGTCTAATGAATGATATAAACATTGTTCCATTCTCTTGCTCCATACACCAGTGCAAAATGATGGAGATTGTGATTTCTGGGATCAATATAACATGGAACTGACAAATAGGAGAGAACTGGTGTGGACGTGGAATTAATCCCTTTAATATTTCTGATCACAGAGCATCGCAAGGCAGCACGTTGCATTCTTCTTCACATTTCATAGAGGCCTTTTACATAAGTTCTTTTGCTTGTTCTTCCCTAGAGACGAGAGGGCCGGTAGAGCGATCCAATTTCCAAATGATGGCCCTGCTGTTGAAGGTCACCTACTGGTTAGGACCTAACCAAGGTGAGATTGGGCCCTGCTCTCCTGATATCCTTTAGGACGCTCTATTGCCAAGTGCTGCTTTTCTTAGATCAGTAGGTTTTTTTGTGCATTTATTTTTAAGCAGTTGAGTCTTTTCTCTAAACAGAAGTAGAACTCAGTAAATAAGACCTTTAAAGGCCAAACCGATCTAGTAACAATAGTGTGAGAATCTAGGAGTCCTGCAATTATTTGAAGAGATATTAAATGACCTTTGTGCACCAGGTACTGTGCAAAGCTACTGAACTCACAGGTGCCCATAAACAGGCACAATCTCCACGTTTTAAGCAAGCTGAAGGTCTGAGGTTTAAAAGCTCTTCACATTACTCAACTGGTGTTGAGTTGAATTGTATCTCCCCAAAGTTTAAATGTTGAAGTCCTAACCCCTACTACTTTAGAATTTGACTACATTAGACGTAGGATCACTGCAGAAGGAATTAGTGAAGATGAAGTCATATTGGAGATGGGTGGGCCCATTCCAACATGACTGTGTCCTTATACACGGGGAAAATCTGGCACAGAAACAGATACACATACAGGGAGAACACCATGCAAAGATGAGAACAGAGATCAGTACAACTACAAGCCAAGGAATACCAAAGGGTGTCAGCATTCACCAGGAATTAGGACAGAGACCTGGAAGAGATTATCAGCCCTCAGAAGGAACCAAGCCCACCCACACCTTGATCTCAGACTTCCAGGCTCCAAAACTGAGACAATAAATGTCTGATGCTCAGGCCACCCCACTGATGACATTTTGTGATGGCAGCTCTAGTGGAACTGATATGAACTGAGCCACAGAGCCAGGAGATAGATCCAAGTGGGGCTCCCATGTCCCTCTTCCGATTGTAAGGACCCACAGGTGTGGCGTTAGTGTGCAGGGCAGGGAGGACAGAGTCTCACACAACATTTTGAAAAGATGTCTCAGAGGATTTTAGAAGAAACAGCTGTGAAAGAGGGGAGTGATGCTAGGTTACCTGGCCCTTGAGGCTTTGTTTTGTGTACCTTCTGTTCTCCTGGCACGGGCAGTGAGAAGAGGCATGAGGGCGATGCACAGTGGCTGGCTGCCAAGTGTGATGATGGACACCAAGGAAAGCAGGGGCGTGCAGGGAGAGTTCTCTAAACAGAGCACTCCATGGACGCACTTGACACGGTTTTGGGACAAACAGCTGACTGCAAATGTGGTTTCATCCCCGCCTTCCACCAGCTGGACTTTGTTTGCTGTTTGCAAGGGCTGGTCCCTATTAACCTGCATGCTTTGGGTCGGCCATGCCTCCTGACTGACTGCCCTTCAGCAGGCTTCCTGGAGACACTCATACCTAGTACGTAGTTGTTCTGTTTGCCAGGAATTGGCCGACAGGCTGTATTGGTACAAGGGCCTCTAGTTGGCAAAGCAAATACTGTGATAGAAAACACATTATTTTGCAAATTAAAATAAAATTCAGTTGGGTAGAGGCTCTGAGGAAGATCTATTCACCAAATACCAAGATATTTGATCTCTTGTGCACATTTAGATCTTTGCTCCAAGGACAAATTATTTTTGATTAAAGGAAGATGCCCCCCCAACAGTCAAAATATGCAGGTGGAATCTCAAGCAAGGTGACTGTGTTATAGTAGGACAGTGATTCTAATGAATTCTATCCCATTCTTGTTTGGCAGAGAGCAGGACACAGCCAAAATATACATGGCTGTTTTTATATGCACCTCATTTGCTACAAACAAAACATTAACAACATTCCCTTAAATCATTCTTGACATCAGAATATTTGTGGGGGGGTGGAGGGGAGTGGGGACGTGGGTGGGAATAGTAATTGAGCTTGTGCTTGTTTTCTAATTCTATTTAGAATCGCCTGTCTAGGAGGGAGACTTCTCACTGCATATACATTGTACTTTTTGAACTCGAGTATGTGAGTATGGACCTACTAAAAAAGGAAATGCAATTAATTTGTTTTAAAATTGCCTACATATTCAGAATGCAGCATTGGCTTGCCCCCCCGCCCCAAATCCTCCCTTGGAGGTTCCTTTCCACCCAGTCTGTGTTGAAGTGTGACAGGCTTCAACTGATGTGATGCAATTACTTGTGGAATAATTTCCAGGGGCCCTGTCCTAAAATAGATGATATGATGAGTAGGTGAGATTAGGCAGAGCAGGGTTTATTGAGGCAATATTTACTGGTAGATTTAAGACTACAAGGAATTTATGACTGTGCAATAAAGATTCAACCTTCCTCAAAGAGAGGTGAGGTCTAAACCCTTGGATCACCATTTCCAATAGAATGTGGTTCCCTAGGGGCTTTGGGTGACACCAAGTGGCCTCACAATGTGACTTAGGGTGGACACTTTAGGTAATGTGGTATCAGTTGACATTCTGCATATGGTCACATAAAACCATGTTATCCGTGGTTACAGAATTGAGGGCAGTGCCTGGACCAAGGGTGAGAGGCAGTTCCATGATACCTTGTTGACTGAGGTGCATCTGCACTGGGGGAGAAACCTGCACTCTACCCCGCAGGGCCCCCCTCATTTGGGGAGACAGTGGATAAACATGATCCCAATGGAGGTAGAGTGGATGTCTGTTTTGTCTGCCCATCCTAGGTCCCCCTGTCCTGCTAGTACCCCCAAATATTTCAAGAATTGCTCCTTTTTTCCCTTTCCAACTTGGCAGTTGCAGCAGGAGCTGCTATGTCCTTGTGCTGCTGGCCTGGGAATAAGCTTGCACCCAAGACCCCTGCTGGGGCAATTCTAAGACCCTAGCCATGGTGGGTAAACAAGGGTTGGGTGTCTGCCCCAAGTCAGGCCAACCAGAGCTCCACAGCTGGATGAACTTAAACTGAGAAGGAAGGTCAGTCTTTCTGTCTGGTGGTGGAGTCAGAATAGGCACAACTTGAGAGTTCTCAGCTGAAATATTTGTGCCATGTGGAGCCTGAACTACAGTGAGAGAAAGGGGGAAATGAAGCTTCTGAGAGGAAGACAGGTGGCGGGGGGAGGGAGGAAACATTCCTTGGCTTCAGTTCTTTTTTAAAATTAATATTTATTGGTACATTTTAGATATACATAAGAACATTCATCATATGGAATTTGTACCTGTACATGATATATCTTGCTTCTTCTTTTATGCCCTTTCCCTCACCTCCCTTCAACCCCTCTTCCCCTCCTTATTTACAAAGGCTTTGTTTCCATTTTTTCCTTCTGTTCTTTTTTCCTTTTTCCCCCCTCTTCCCTCTGTAGTTCTCCTTTCTATTTTCCTGGAAAATTCAAAGCCATTATTATTAGATTCTAACAAAGAAGAACATTTGCTTCAAAGTAAAGATTGCTATCAAGAAGACAACTAAAACTCAAGGAAGCTGTGTGAGGGGAGGGAGTGGTTGCTTAAATACCATAGACCATAGCTAAGAAGGGAAGAAGAGCAGACTTTGTGTGCCGACTGCAAACTGCAGAGGAGATGGCTTTCCCTTTGGGGTAAGTGTGGGCACGAGCAGCAGGAGGTCTGAAAAGGTGTGGATTTGAGAAGCCTCTTGTTGAGCCTTCTGGGCTGAGTCATTCTTCAGTGGCAGAGGCTCCCAGAGAAATGCATCCCTATGGGGTTCACTGTGGGAAATCAGGAGACAACCTGCTAGGTCACCTGTGATGCTCTCCAGGGCTCTGTGGGATCTTGTTCAATTTTAACAAAAATATAACCCTGACATGCTGGCACTTCTGGCAAAAACATATTTTGGCAAATGAAAAATTGCTAATGAAATTAAGTCACATTCTGTATAGAATCTGTTCCATGACCAATTTACCAGCCCTGGAGTACACTGGCACTTGAGAATATGATTAGGTATCAGTCCTGGAGCCTCAGTGGGACGTCAGATAGGAAGTGTCACAGTTCATTTCAATCCTTTGTCGAACCCAGCACCCCCTTGGGTACCCACCACTCCAACTGAGTCCACGTATACCATTTTAAGAATGTTTTGAATTGGTTAAGATTTCTTGGTAGCAAGTAATAGAAACCCCACATAATCAGCTTAAACCAAAAGGGGACTTTATTATTGAAGACACCAGGGGGTCTCATGGAGCCTAGGACAGAAACCAGGTTATCCTGGGAACTAGGAGAACATGGAACTCATGTGTGATCAGGGGTCATTGCAACTCTCACCTCGGTTCCTGTGCACCTCTTCAGGGCTTTCTCCCTCTTCTACAAATACATTGCCTTTTGTGTACTTCAAGCAGAAAACATAGTGGTCACCACTGGAAAGACTCTCAGGTCCAAAAATGCTGTGGAGGGCCTGGGATTTAGCTCAATGGTTCCACACCTGCCTCGAAAGTGCAAGGTCCTGAGTTCGATCCCTGGTACAAAAAAAAAAAAAAAAATCAAAAACCAAAAACTAAACAAGCAAAAATGCTGTGGAAAGACTCACTGTGCAAGCTGAGGCAAGTGCCATCCCCTGGATGAGGCCACAAAATCCCTGGGGGTTGGCACTGTGGCCACCTACTTGTGGCCAGGCATCTGTGGCTGGGGTCAAGATCCTATGACGCATGGAGGCTGATTCTGTGTTTATGCTACTAGTGAGTGCAGGGAGGGCCCAGTTCCTAGGAAAAGAGAAGCAAAGGAAACACAACCACAGATGGTCACGACACTGGTCCCTGCAATGCTCTACTTGCTATGAATCGTTCTTCCTGAAGACTCTTCGGCTCCCACGTGCTTTGCCGGTTAGGCCTCAGAATGTCTGAATGTAAGGATCTTTAGAGTTCATCCCAACCTCCTCTTTGTTGAATGAGTATTCTACAGTTTCCCGGGAATCTGTGCTCACAGGCTTCCACGGACCAGGAGCTCACCACTATCACGAGAATTCCCATTCTGTTTTCCCACTAGATTGATAAATTCACCTGCCCTCCAAAGTGACATCTTTTGCTTATCGGTCCTGGCTCTTCCTTCTGGTGTCTAACACTATAGTCTCCTCCGACTAGTTTAAGGTGGTACTTCCTGCCCCCTCTGCGTGTCGTCTTATGACCTAAATGGCTTTTCTTTTTGTTCATCCATTTCTAATGTGCTATTACATTTTAATCCTCCCTATTTTCAAAGCTCTTCTCTCGTTGTGCTTATAGTTTGTCAAGGATCCTCTTGAAGAGTTTTGATCAACACTGAAAACTATGGCCTGGAGGAAGAGGCTCATTGCTGCAGATACTCTGAAGCTAGTGTCTCCATTCCTTACTCCCTCTTTGGGCCTCTTTCATTGCACTCGTGATTATATTCAATTTTCAATCCACAAAAACTCATTTAGCTCTAAAACTCAATCCAGGGTTTAGAGCAGGGCCAATCTGTATCTGACTTCTCCTAACTGTCTGGCTCAGCCTTGCTGCAGGATCCAGAAGCCTTCCCAAGCAAAGGCAGGAGAAGCTCCTGTCCCAGGGGTCTGGTGTCAGTTAACCCAGAGCTCCAGTTCTGATCACTGCCTGCTACTTTGTAGCTGATATCTGGTTCCCATTCACAGTACCCAGGCTTTAGCAACTTGCTCCTTATTGTAGGATCCAACTTAAAATCTCAGCCCCAAATTAATAACCTAAACCTCTGACAGGTAGGTGGGTTGCTTCCCTGCTGAGACAATGGTGCATGTGGTCATATGGACTGCTGGGTTCTCCCACTCCCACCCAGGCTGTCCTGGCTCTTTTGCCTGTTCCCGCCCTTAGACGTTGGCCCCCTAAAAGCTGAGGGCTCCAGTACATACCTGCTGCTCTCTCCTCTCCGACATGAAGCACTGAGCTGTCTATATTGCCTTGCACTCTCCCAAGACCTGCCATGGGCTCTGAGGGACTAAAGCTGCCTTGTCCAGGTAGGTAGATGTACTGTACATCCAGACACTAAATCTTCTCAAGTATTCTCTGTGTCTTTAAGAGTTAGTGCAAAGGAATTCCATTAGGAAATCTAGGGGCATTTATAAAATGGACTTAGTGCACAGGTTAAAATGTGTTAGAATATAAAGTGCAAATAATTTTTTTTTTTTTGGTTTTTTGAGACAGGGTCTCACTGTGTAGTTAAGACTGACCTGGAACTCACTATGTAGCCCAAGCTGGTCTCGAACTCACAGCGATTCTCCTGCCTCAGCCTCCTGAGTGCTGGGATTACAGGCATGTTCCACCACACCCGGCTTTATTGTTCTTATAATGGGAAAAAATCTTAAATCTGTGGCTTCTTTTTTTCTTATTCCTATTGCACCTCCTACTCCCACCCTTGCACCCAACCTTCAGAGCAGTGACAGGTTTCTACATGCTGTCATAGTAACAATCAAATTATGCTAGATACTTACAAACAAACACTGTTACAAATTGAATTACAGTTCACAAACCACAAAGTTCAGAGTACAAGTAACTGACTCTTATTGTATTCACAGTGTCGTGCAACCATCAACACAGTTTCAGAACATTTTCTTCGCCACCAAAAGGAACCCTGTATCCTTTATCTATCATCCTCCCTACCACTTCCTCACGCTTCTCAGCCCCTGCCAGTCATGTCCCAATAGAGACATCCATTCTTTCTGTATAGACTCTGGCCCTACAGATTCACTTATTTTGGAAATTTCATAGAAATGGAATTGAACAATCTGTGGTCTTCTGTAAGCATAATGCTTTCAAATTTAGCATGTATCAATACCTCATTCTTTTACTGTCAACTAATATTTCACTGTACAGATGACCCATCTTTTATTATTTATTCCCCAGTCCATGGATACTTGGATGGTTTATATCTACTCTTTTTGTTATAATACTGCTTTAACCATACAAGGAGAAGTTTTTGCATGGGTACGTTTTCCTTTCTCTTAGGAATGAGGACTTAATGAGTCATACGGTATCTATATTATTTAACCATTTTAAGAATTGCTAGACTGTTTTCCAAAGTGACTGCATCATTTTACAGTCCCATGAGCAGTAAGACATTTTCCCGACCCCAGCAGGGCTCTTCTGAGCTTTTTGCCTGATTTCCTCTGGTGAAGCTGCTAGCTGCTGTGGTCTATGTCCATGGCCCTCTAAAATTCCTGTTGAGACTTGCTCCCCAATGCAACAGTAGCAAGAGGTGGGACCTTTAGGAGCTGACTGGGTCATGAGGGCTCTGCCTTCTAAAAAGGCTTCTTGAAGGAGCCTGCATGTCCCTTTTTGCCCTTCTGCCCCTTCCACCATGTGAAGGGACAACAAGCAAATGGCATGTTGGGAGTAGAGAGGGAGCCCTGACTAGATACTCAGTGTGCTAGAGCCTTCTTCTTGGCCTCCTCAGACTCTAGAACTGATTGCATAGGCTCCATTTCCTCCGCCACGCTCACCTAGAGTGGAGCTTCCATTAAGCTGGGCTGGGGTGGGGGACTGGGTTTTGACTCAGACGTCATAAACTCTTGCTGTTAATGCTTGAGCATGAATAGATTTTGTTGAATAAGTGTCTCCTTGCTGTATGCCCCTTTGACAATTTCTAGAGATTTTAAATGGTCTTTAAATGATGAAATGGTTTTACTTTTTGCACTACACTGGTGATGTAGTGGTGTAGTGTTCCCTGGCTTCAATTCCCAATACGAAAACAAGACAAACAACAACCAGATCAGAACCTGTTAGAAAAATGCCCCCCCTTCAATTTTCTCCAAAGCTTTGGTATGAAAAGCAAATACCAAAAAACCTGGGGACTTTTACCTTTCCATCTGTGTTTCTGTTTGTTTCATACCTGCTACGGTGCACTGAAAATTTGTGCATTTGTGTGTGCATATGTATTTAACACGCTATACCTTGAATGTAATTAGTTCTATGTTTTCATTCCTTTCTTGATCATAGGCTTTGTTTTTTCTTCAGTGCTGAGGAGGGAGCCAAGGCTTTATACACGCTGGGCAAATGCTCTACTACTGAACTGCATCCCTGACCCTGGTTCATGGGCCGTTTTAGGGTGAAAATCATGATTTTTAAAAATTCTCTAGCTCTTAGAGCTCTCTGTAAGTGCTTTTATAGGATGAATAAATACATAACTGAATAAATGATGCAAATAATCATATCACTAAATGACATTCTGGTTGTCTTTATTTCCCTACACCCCTCCCTGAATGTAACTACCTTCTGGGGAGAAAAGGGTGGGGAGAAGAAAGTTATAAAACACCTTGGACTGACTCGGTTTTCAAACTGAAAGTGATTATATTCTGTTGCTGCTACCAAGACAGAAGAGGCTCTTTAGTATAACTTTTCTACAGTACAGGAAAATAAGGTTAACATTTTTGTTTCCCAGAGGTCATGATTGTGAATCTTTGCACAGAATATTAGAGGCTACAACTTTGTCTGTACAGATGACAAAACTGAAGCTCAAGCAGTAAAAGAGGTAGTTCAAGGTGGTTCCACTCAGTATGAACACAGCCTGGAGGCCAGTCCAGGTGTCCTGTGTCTTGTTCCAGGGTCACAGGGTGTTATCTTCCTGTACCTATCAAATTCATGCACAAAGCATTGAGCCTCACCAATATATTATACCTAAGAAAACACCTCCCTAACATTTAAAAAAATACAGCATTCAGTTAAACTTTGAAGCCAAATTTTAAGAGCTCTTGACTATTTCATGACAATCAAGTACCATGCAAAGTAAGCACCTCTTGTTAAGAATGTCATCTTCCTTTCTAACCCCTCTACCACTTAGTTTTTCTGACTCTTTCGAAGCATAAAACTCCTTGTAACAACTGTAAGGAAACGGGAGGTAATCAGAGCAGTGAGCCGTGGTAGATTCTCAAACTGGCTTATTTTGAAAAGAGCATTTGGGCAGCAGAGGGGGAAGATTGTAGAGGAGGGGGAGAAGCCCAAATTTCCACCCTTGATTACAACACCCCTGGGTAACAGTACAGTTCTGAAGTACATCCTTCCACAGACACAAAAGATGGACAAGGCAGGTGGTGACTCAGAAAGCTGGTGACTGGCATCATTAGCCAGGTATTTGACTCAGATCTGAGATGACTCCTCCCTACCCAGACAGCTCCAGTGTTCTGGTAGTGCTGAACCAAGTCCAAGAAGTCATTCATCAGATGTCTTTCTGTTTGTGCTCTACTTAAGAATGAGTCTTATCCTTTTCTATCACATACAAACAAGCCAGGATCCCAAAGATGCTGCACTAATTACTTGGAGCTGCTGCTGCTGCTGCTTTCCTTCACCATCAGCCTGTAGAAAATAACTTGAACCTGTAAACTTAAAGTTGACACCCACCTGAGGCTATGTCTGCTCCTCCCTTCAAAGACAGAAGAGGATTTAGCAGATGACAGTGAGCTTGGAATTGGCAGGCTTGGATTCAAGTGTCATCTTTTAGTTCTGTGATGTTGGGAAAGTTGCTTATCATCTCTGAGAAC